GAATGCTATAAACATCCATGTTCTTGGTTTTTGTGTAGACTTAAGTTTTCAGCTCCTTTGGTTAAGTACTAAGTAGTATGACTGCCGGACTGAATGCTAAAAAATAGGTTTAGGTTTGTAAGAACCGCCAAACTGTTCTGTCTTCTCTTTCTTTTGACGGTGTCTTTTGCAGAGCAGTTTTAAATTTTAATAAAATCTAACTTACCATTTCTTTCTTTCATGGGTGTGCCTTTGGTTTTCCATCTGAAAAGTTATCACCAACCCCAGTGACACCTAGTATTTTGTTTACTTTTATTTGGTGTTCCTGTCATTGTGATGAGACTACATTTATGTTGGGAGTAGGTGGAAAATATTTTGCGCTTCACTACCAGGGATTAGTGATTGCTGTTAATATTTCACTTTGGTGGGAGTTGATGGTGTTTATGTTTTTATGTTAACATTAAAGAAACCAATTAGCCTTATTTTAATAGGGTAGCTTTAATTCAGCTTAAATCTGCAAATTTGTGGAATTTTAGACCAAGAAATGACGTGAGTGTCTAGTTCAAGTTCTTCATTTTACAAAGGAAGGTACAAAGAATGAGAAATATGACATGATCTGCATGAGGTCATACAGTGAATTATTAATGAAGACAGGACTTAGAATTGCTTATAACCATGTTAAAGAACTAAGATAAAAGATGTACTGGTAATTTTTTCTTGTATAACAAACACTCTTGATGATAGGGGTTTCTTATTCTTTTTCACTTGGCGTTGTGGCTCCTAATTTTTAAGAGGGCAGGTTTTAAAACAGTGAAAAATATAAAAAGTTTTTATACTTTTCCAATGTTGTGGCTAATTGATAGCTTTATTAAGGCAAATCAAATAAATGTTGAGAAGTACACAATTAAATAAGTTATTATTTGTAGAGCATTTCTTTTCAGGGTTTTATTTTTGTTGTTGTTGTTTGGGTTTTTTTTTTGAGACGGAGTCTTGCTCTGTTCTCAGGCTAGAGTGCAGTGGCGCGATCTTAGCTCACTGCAACCTCCACCTCCTGGGTTCAAGCGATTCTCCTGCTTCAGCCTCCCGAGTAACTGGGACTACAGGCGTGCGCCACCACATTCAGCTAATTTTTTGTATTTTCAGTAGAGAAGGAGTTTCACCATGTTAGCCAGGATGAGCTTGATCTCCTGACCTCGTGATCCACCTGCCTCGGTCTCCCAAAGTGCTGGGATTACAGGCATGAGCCACCGTGCCCAGCCTTTTTTTTTTTTAAAGACAGAGTCTTACTCTGTCGCCCAGGTTGGAGTGTTATGGTGCAATCTCAGCTCACTGCAACTTCCACCTCCTGAGTAGCTGGGACTACAGGTGTGCACCACCATGCCAGACCAATTTTTTTTTTGTATTTTATTTATTTTTTTGAGATAGAGTCTTGCTCTGTCGCCCAGGTTGGAGTGAAGTGGCATGATCTCGGCTCACTGCAACCTTCACCTCCTGGTTCAAGCAATTCTCATGCCTCAGCCTCCCAAGTAGCTGGGATTACAGGTGTGCGCCACCACACCCAGCTAATTTTTTGTATTTTTAGTAGAGACGGGGTTTCACCATGTTGGCCAGATTGGTCTCGAAGTCCTGACCTCAGGTGATCTGCCTGCCTCGGCCTCCCAAAGTGCTGGGATTACAGGTGTGAGCCACCACACATGGCCCATGATAATTGTATTATAGTTAGCGTACGGATACTCTAGTAGGGAATATAGGTGAGTGGTATACCAAATTCTCTGTACTATCTTTGTAACTATTCTACAAATCTAAAATTACTTTAAAATAAAACAAAAAACAGGCCAGGTGCAGTGGCTCACGCCTGTAATCCCACCACTTTGGGAGGCCAAAGCGGGTGGATCACCTGAGGTCAGGAGTTCATGACAGCCTGGCCAACATGGTGAAACCCCATCTCTACAAAAAAACAAAAATTAGCTGGGCATGATGGCGGGCGCCTGTAATCAAATCGCTTGAACCCGGAAGGCAGAGGTTGCAGTGAGCCAAGATTGCCCCATTGCACTCCAGTCTTAGGGACAGAGTGAGATTCCATCTCAAAAAAAACTAACAAAAACAAAAAGTAAAACAAAAAACCTTCTAGTTATGGAAAAATCTCCAAGACATACAATTAAGAGGAAAAAATCAAACTGCTAGAAAATGTGCTTGCATGCTATCCTTTGGGAAAGTTAAGAGTGCATAATGCTTAGTATATTATCCATATATATATAGTATATATATGGATTCTGTGAAAGAACCACCATGCAATTGGAAATAGTGGGGTTGTCTCTGAGGTTCACTTAACTAAGTGGTTTTCTTTTCACTCTGAATCCTTTTGTCCCTTTTTTTTTTTTTTCAGATGGAGTCTCTGTCACCCAGGCTGGAGTGCAATGGTGCCATCTTGGCTCACTGCAACCTCTCTCTCCCGGGTTCAAGCAATTCTCCCACCTTAGCCTCCCTAGTTGGGATTACAGGCACCTGCCATCATGTCCAGCTAATTTTTGTATTTTAGTAGAGATGGGGTTTCACCATGTTGGCCAGGCTGGTCTTGAACTCCTGACCTCAGGTGATTCGCCCACCTCAGCCTCCCAAAGTGCTGGGATTATAGGCGTGAGCCACTGCGCCCAGTTGCCTTTTGTTCCTTTTGAATGTTATACTAGAAAAACAAAAAGAGGAAGGAGGAAAAATGTGATTTCAAACCCCCAGGGCATAACTATAGTAATAATTGTAGTAAAGATGACAATGATAGTAGTGGTGATATTTTATTTCCTGCCTCCCAACCCACCTCCCCACCAAAATTGAGTCATTCTGACAAACATAGACTTATCAGGATCATTCTTTCTAAAAACAGTATGGCATCTGATTATCTGAAGGCCTCAAAAGGATCTAAAAGGTATTTTTTGCTGCTGTACCTTCCCTTTAAAACCTCACTTAGATCTCTGAATTTCCTTTAGATGTAGATGATCACATAATATATCATACAAACCACTTTGAGATAAAATGGGTATTAAGGCTGGGTACAGTGGCTCACACCTATAACCCAGCACTTTGGGAAGCCAAGGTGGGAGGATCTCTTGAGCCCAGAAGTTCAAGATCAGCCAGGAAAACACAGTGACACCCTATCTTCATAAATTAAAAAAAAATTTTTTTTTTTAAATTTTTAATCATGGTGTACACCTGTAGTCTCAGCTATTCAAGAGCCTGAGTGGGGAGGAGGATCCCTTGAGTCCAGGAGTTGGAGGCTGCAGTAAACTATGATCTTGCCACTTCAGTCCAGCCTGGGTGACACAGCAAGACCCTGTCTTAGAAAAAAAACAAAAAAAGAAAAAACAAAAGATGCTAACAGTAATTATTCCAAAATAAAAGGTATAAACTAAAACTCATGCTTATCCTGGCAAAAATTCATAGGTCCTACATTACAGCATTTCTAAAATTTAGTTTTAATGACTGCTTATAGGAATGAGCTGAGGGAGGTAAAAAATAAAGTTTAAATTTAAAAAAATGACTGCTTGGAACACTTATTTCATTATCTAAATCAACTCTTCCTTTCGGAATACTATATGCTTTCAAAGTTGAAATATAGTTTTTCATTTATTCTGATCAGGAATATAAGTTCAAAAGGGTCAGACTGGAAGCAATCTAGCTTTTCTTAAAAAAAAAAAAAAAGTATTAGATTTTAAATTATATGCACACACCCAATTGACTTTCCTTCAACTGCCTCCACTCTTAAAAAAACTTCAACTTGTGATAGGTCTAATGGCCAATGAATACAACCTCGCTGACCTGCCCTGCATGTCATTAAAACACACAGTACCTCTAGCTCCTTACAGGTCAAGGATTCTACTTCCAAACACAGGACAAATGTGGAAACTTCTCTTATAAATTTGGTTGTGGTGATCATTTAAAGTATCAATAAAGACAGGAATTGCCTTAAATTCATCAAGATAAATGAAATCTTATTATTTGCTAACTGGTGCTGATTCTGACATCTACATAATCCCACAGCTGTACCCTTTACGTGATTAAACTATATAGAAATGAGTACAGAGAAATTAGAGCTGGAGGAGAAGGAATTATTGCCGGGTGCAGTGGCTCACGCCTGTAATCCCAGCACTTTGGGAGGCCGAGGCAGGTGGATCACCTGAGGTCAGGAATTCAAGACCAGCCTGACCAACATGGAGTAAACCCCATCTCTACTAAAAATACAAAATTAGCTAGGGTGGTGGCACATGCCTGTAATCCCAGCTACTCGGAAGGCTGAGGCAGGAGAATCGCTTGAATGCGGGAGGCAGAGGTTGCAGTGAGCCGAGAGTGCGCCATTGCACTCCAGCCTGGGCAAAAAGAGTGAAACTCTGTCTCAAAAAAAAAAAGAAGGAATTATTAGGACAAGTCAAAGATCACAATCAAGAGCCTATAATCTCAAAAAGCAAAACACAATACTGAAACTCTAAAGAGCTGTTCTTATCCTCTTCCCTCTTCCTATAACTATTAAAATTTAATACAACTTCAGTCAGGTGCAGTGGCTCATGCCTGTAATCCCTGCACTTTGGGAGGCCAAGGCAGGTGGACCACAAAGTCAGGAGTTCAAGACCAGCCTAGCCAAGATGGTGAAACCCCGTCTCTACTAAAAACACAAACATTAGCCAGGTGTGGTGGCAGGCACCTGTAATCCCAGCTGCTCGCGAGGCTGAAGCAGAGAACTGCTTGAACCTGAGAGGCAGAGGATGCAGTGAGCCGAGATCGCGCCACTGCACTCCAGCCTGGCGACAGAGCAAGACTCCATCTCAAAAAACAGTAATAATAATACAAATTCTTTGAAAAACATTTTTAAATGAATAATATTACTCAAAGCTCAAAGCTGGGCATGGTGGCTCACACTTGTAATCCTAGCACTTTGGAAGGCAGGAAGAGCACTAGAGGCCAGGAGTTCAAGACCACAAAAGAAGACCCCATCTCTACAAAAAATTAAATTAACTGAATGTGGTGGTACACACCTGTAGTCCCAGCTACTCGGGAGGCTGCAATGGGAGGATCGCCTGAGTCCAAGAGGTCAAGAGTGCAGTAAGCAGTGATCGCACCACTGTACTGCATCCTGGGCAAATTTCCACTTTTGTCCTGCGTTTGGAAGTAGAATCCTTGACCTGTAAGAAATCCTGTCTCAATAAATAAATGTATGTATGTGCCTTTAAAAGTGGAATTTAAAAAGAAAATGTCCCGGGAGAAAAAGCCTATCCAAAAAGAAATGGACATCCTGGGGATTATTGGTGTCATTTCACTAGTATACTTAAAATTTATTTCAATTTACGGCCAGATGCGAGGGCTCACGCCTGTAATCCCAGCAATTTGGGAGGCTGAGGTGGGTGAATCACCTGAAGTCAACAGTTCAAGACCTGCCTGGCCAACATGGTGAAACCCTGTCTCTACCAAAAATACAAAAATTGGCCAGGTGTGGTGGCAGGCACCTGCAGTCCCAGCTACTAGGGAGGCTGAGGCAGGAGAACTGCTTGAACCCGGTAGATGGAGGTTGTGGTAAGCCAAGATTACACCACTGAACTCTGGCCTGGGCAACAGAGTGAGACACTGTCTCAAAAGAGAAAAAAATTACTTCTATTTACAAGGTAGACAGAAACACCATTGTGATCAATTCCTAATGAACCTAATTCTTCACTGTTGTTTCCATAATCACATAGTCTGATTTACAACAATTTCCAGTATATTATTATAACAAACAAAGCTCTCTGAAGTCAGAGACACCAGAAATCTAGTCACTACCATTTGCTAGTTGTATAACCTTGGGCAAATTCCCAAAGCTCTCTCTAGGCCCATTTCCCCCGCTGTAAAATCCAGATTATTACACTACAGCATTGTTACATACGTTGTGAGGTTTAAAGAGGTACAAAGTAATAGATTATTATTTTAAAATACTGCTGAGGCCAGTCAATGACCCAGAGGAATAAACTTCACTTAATACATAAATTTAATTCTATGTTAATTGGTAGGAAAGATAATTGGCCAGCAATCTCAACAAGTAACTAAGAACCTGAAAACACATCACACTGGGTCAAGGGTGCAGAAATATCACACACTCATCTAAAAATACATGTACACCTGTTTGACACATCAAATTCTTCTGGATAATGTGATTAGGACAAGAAATAACTGTTTTCCCAAAAAAGCACTATGCTGAAAAATAAAGATTATTTTTTTTAAAATTTTATTTATTTATTTTTGAGACAGTGTCTCACTCTGTTGCCCAGGCTGGAGTGCAGTGGGGCGATGTTGGCTCACTGCAACCTCCGCCTCCCAGGTTTAACAAATTCTCATGCCTCAGTATCCCAAGTAGCTGGGATTACCAGTACCAGCCACCGTGCCCAGCTAATTTTTGTAATTTTTTTTTGAGACGGAGTCTTGGTCTGTTGCCCAGGCTGGAGTGCAGTGGCATGATCTTGGCTCACCGCAACCTCTGCCTCCCGGGTTCAAGTGATTCTCCTGCCTCAGCCTTACCGGGATTACAGGCACGTGCCACCACACCTAACTAATTTTTGTATTTTTAGTAGAGACAGGGTTTCACCATGTTGGCCAGGCTGGTCTTGAACTCCTGACCTCAAGTTATCTGCCCTCCTTGGCCTCCCAAAGTGCTGGATTACAGGTGTAAGCCACCATGCCTGGCCTAATTTTTATATTTTTTAGTAGCAGACGGGGTTTCACCATGTTGGCCAGGCTGGTCTTGAGCTCCTGACCTCAAGTGATCCGCCCACCTCGACCTCCTAAAGTGCTGCGATTACAGACATGAGCCACTGCACCCAGCCAGAAAAACTAACTTTTAGCCAGGAGCAGTGGCACATGCCTATAGTCCCAACTACTCAACAGACTGAGGTGGAAGAATTGCTTCAGTTCAAGTGCAGCCTGGGCAACACAGCAAGACCCTGCCTCTATTTAAAAAAAAAAAAAAAAAAAAGGCCAGGCACGTTGGCTCATGCCTGTAATCCCAACACTTTGGGAGGCTAAGGTGGGCGCGGATCATCTGAGGTCAGGAGTTTGGGACCAGTCTGACCAACATGGTGAACCCCATCTCTATTAAAAACACAAAAAATTAGCCAGCCGTAGTGGCGGGCGCCTGTAGTCCCAGTTACTCGGGAGGCTGAGGCAGGAGAATGGTGTGAACCTGGGAGGCGGAGCTTGCAGTGAGCCAAGATGGAGTCACTGCACTCCAGCCTGGGTGACAGACAACTCAAAAAAAAAAAAAAGGCGCCTGTAATCCCAGCAGGAGGATCATGAGGTCAGGAGATAGAGACCATCCTAGCTAACATGGTGAAATCCCATCTCTACTAATAATACAAAAAAATTAGTCAGGCATGGTGGCACATACCTGTAGTCCCAGCTACTCGGAAGGCTGAGGCAGGAGAATGGCATGAACCTGGGAGGTGGAGCTTGCAGTGAGCCGAGATGGAGTCACTGCACTCCAGCCTGGGCGACAGAGCAAGACTCCGTCTCCACAAAAAAAAAAAAAAAAAAAAAAAAAGTTTAAGGAAAAAAAAAAGGGAGATACCACCAACTAGTTTGGAGAGTTACTTGGATTAGACAAGTATCTTCAAAATGTCTTGGCACCAGACCTGACATGTAATCTAGCTGGCAACAAACAGTAGCTGTATCCTCACCATATATCACAGTAGTCAACTTTTATAAAGGTGTAATGATCAAGGATAAGCTTATAGTACCCTAACTTGGGAGTATCCAGTAGAAATACCATTCTCCTCTCCAATCTATTAATTTACTGGAACAAATGAACAAAATGGACTTTTGTCTTGTTTTCTTATGCTTTTATGATAACACAATAACAATCAGGTACTCACTAATGTTTGCAAAATGGAATGGGATTATCTGCTAGACCCACAGACAGTGAAAAGACAAGCAAGAAGTCATAAATGACCAATCAAACCACTGGTTTATAACCAATTAAACCAATGGTGGTAAGTCATTAATTTGTTTTTTTGTTTGTTTTTAAGACAGTCTCATTCTGTCACCCAGGCTGGAGTGAGTGGCAGAATCCTGACTCACAACAACCTCTGCCTCCTGGGTTCATGCAATTCTCCTGCCTCAGCAGCCTCCCCTCCGCAGTAGGTGGGACTACAAGTATGCACCACTATGCTCAGCTAATTTTTGTATTTTTAGTAAAGACAGGGTTTTGCCATGTTGGCCAGGCTGGTCACAAACTCCTGACCTCAGGTTATCCATCCACCTTGGCTCCCAAAGTGCTGGGATTACAGGCATAAGCCACCATGCCTGACAACTATTGGTTTTTAATACTGAGATGTTTCTGAAACAAAAATTACAATCTTTAATAAGCATACCAACTATTTCCTACCAGTTTACTAACTGGTACAAAATGCTGCCATGTAGTAAAGTAGTACAATGTTTTATATACTGGAGATAATACCAACATTCTACATACCACAATGTATATACCACAGTATATATACCTTGAAGAGAGGCCAATCTATATACCACAGTAAACAGAATACTATACAAGAAATCAGCCAGGCTCGATGGCATGCACCTGTAGTCTCAGCTACTAGGGAGGCACAGGTGGGAGGATGGTGTGAGCCCAGGAGTTCAAGTCCAGCCTGGGCAATGTAACAAAATCACCTTCTTTTTTTTTTTTTTTTTTTGAGACAGAGTCTGGGCTTCTGGCTTGCCCGGGCTGGAGTTGCAGTGGGCGGATCCTTTCAGCTCACTGGCAAAGCTCCGCCCCCCGGGGTTTTACTCATTCTCCTGCCTCAGCCTCCCGAGTTGCTGGAACTACAGGCCCCGCCGGCTCGCCGGGCTAGTTTTTTGTATTTTTTAGTAGAGACGGGGTTTCACCGTGTTCGCCAGGGCTGGTCTCGATTCCTGACCTCGTGTCCGCCCGTCTCGCCCTCCCAAAAGTGCTGGGATTACACGGCTTGAAGCCCACCGTGCCGGCCAAATTCCACCTCTTTTATTTAAAAAGAAGAACAAAAGAAGTCAAAAGATCAAAGGTTCAAACTTCAGCTCTGGCACTAGGCAAAGTAATTTATCCAGGCCTCAGTTTCTTCATCTCAAAACAGGATTAGTACCTATTCTATTTTACTCTCACTGAATTATTAGAAGAACCAGAAAGAACATTATATAAAAGGCATTTATTAAACCATAAAGTATGACAACTATCCATATTACCATTCTCATAACCAGGTCAGATTATCTTTGTAACATCCTGGTGCCCTCAGTTCCCTTAACTTCCTTTCCCTAACAATGATCTTGTTCTCCATTCTGCCTTAACCATGTACTCTCCTAATCATTAATAATCTCAACCTTCTATTAATATAACTGTATTTCCACATTGTATTCTACACCACCCTTCTATCTTTCTAGCTCATTCCCCAGTACTCCACTCTAACAGTCTTAAATCCATTAGAATCTACAATCCATTGATCCTACCAATTTTTCACCCTCTCACTACCTACACTGCTGCCACCACCCGCCCTCCCAAAAGTCCTCATTCATCTCCTTAACTAAGCTTACAATCACATGGTCCAGCCGGGCACAGTGGCTCACACCTGTAATCCTCAGCACTTTGAGGAGGCCGAGGTGGATGGATCGCCTAAGGTCAGGAGTTCGGACCAGCCGGCAACATAGTGAAACCTGCCCTATTAAAAATAACAAAATTAGCCGGGCATGGTGGCAGGCACCTGTAATCCCAGGCTACTTGGGAGGCTGAGGCAGGAGAAATCATTTGAACCTGGGGGGCGGGAGGTTGCAGTGAGCCAAGACCACACCACTGCATACCAGCCTGGGCAACAGGAGCGAAACTTCATCTCAAAAAAAAAGAAATCACATGGTCCATTATTGTAATCACTCCTCATATACGCCCTCTACCCGTTTGCTCCTATTCACATTAACTCTGGTTAAGAGAGACTGGTTATCAGCACTTTAACTATATGGGTATAGCACATCTAACAAACTATAGCTGAATTAATCTTCCTATAAGTAAGAGGGCTTTGACTGTCTATCCCTCAGCTTAAGCACCTTAAATAGTGCATTCCTGCTTATAGTATTAAAATAAAATTTATCTTTGCAGCTCTAGTCTCCACTTTTTCCCTATGCCCAATCATTAATTCATTGT